TCTTTCCCTTCCCTCCTCTCCCCCCAGGGAAAATGCCATATAATAAGAAGACTGCTGGAAAAAGAGCCCCTGCAAAAAGGAAACTTGCTGAAGTGTTTGCTCTGGGGGAGGTTCTAGCAGATACATCAAGAAAAGAATGGAAATTAGGTGTCCCTATAGGGCAAGGAGGCTTTGGACGCCTGTACCTTGGTAAGTGTAGTTATCTTCGATAATGCTTTTAAATGGAGAGTGAGATGTTTATCCTTATTCAAAGCAATGAAAAATTGATCCTAAGTTAGAAATGCAGGGTGTCTTCAAGTGATTTTTTTTTTTTTACTAGAACCTTAGATTGGTTCATGGCGTTGGAAAAAAATTACAAGAGTGGACAAATGGCCATTGTAAGCACTGCGGTTGTATGAGATTCCAGTGGTAGTTCATTCATTTTTTTAAGTGAAAATCTTTATTACTTTTTAGCAGTGAAAGGATAGTTTAGTATTTATTTAAATTTGATTTTTGGTCTGGCTGAAAGAAGGGATTTTTGCATGAGTGTCCTTATATCACAAATTCTGAACTGAAACCGTTTAAGCATATTCTATGGAGGCTACTGATCAGCCAGTGTTTTTGGCTGTCTTTGACTTTAGTGCTGCTTTTGACTTTTTCATTGCCTTGTGAACTTCTGACATAAGTCATATACTTTCTTTTATGTAACCAATCCTCAAAACAAATTGAAATCTTGGACTTTGCAGTTTAAAACATCAGCACAGATCTTGTTTTGCAATGCTGTTTGTTTGAATTCAAGGAAAACTTCTTTTAGTGGGTAGTGTTCTATACTTATTATCTCTGTTATTTGAACAGATGAACAGATAAGAGAGGTTTTGAGGACACGTCAGGGAATTTAAAAAAAAAAAACTTGATTGCCCCTAGTTATTTTCCAAACAATTTTGAAGGGATGAAAGTTAATGTGATCATGATAATAAGGTTTTCTTTTGCTCTGCATTTATGGTCTTCCTCCTCTTGGTGGAAAAAGTTGCACTGAATACATGCTGAGTTGAAAAAAAAAAAATTAATAATCCGTCCTGCTTTCAAAATGAACAGACTGCAGCATAAGTGGATTAAGAAGAAAAACAGGAGCAGTGGGTGGCTTCTTGCCAAAGAAGCTCTCTATTACTTACTCAGCCTTGCTCAATGAGCCCCTAAATTTACTGAGACTGGAGTTCCAGTTCACTCAAATTGTGCAGTTCTTTGTGTTAAGAATTCCTGCTTTGTTCAAGCCAGAGCTTGCCCTCTGCTTCCCTGTCGTTTGCACAAAGCTGTGCCCCTGACTGTTCCTGTACTTCGTGCTTGCCTAACTTGATGTCCTTCATACCTGTATCTCCTTCTGTCACAAATATCAACAGTTTAGTAGCAACAGGAAGTCACTTTTGGATACGTGACAGGGCAAAATAGTAGAGAGAATGTGTTTTTCATCTTTATGTCCACTATGTATGTTCATCACAGTCCTAGAAAAGCAAAGAAATGCTATTGACTAGAAAAAAGTTACTGAATAATAAAAAAGAACTCCTTTACTTAGTAAACTGCCTGTTCTCCTCAAACAGAATGGAGAATGCAAGACCATACCCATATAGAGTAGTCTTGCCATACAGAGTAGTTCTCTTACCAAAGTCTAAGGTACTGATATATGTTCACATCAGTACTTAATTGCTTTGTCATTTGTTTGTCCATGCTGTATAGCAAGTAAGTGTATGTTTTGTGACAGTTTCCTCTCCTACTACTAATAAATGCTTCCTTTTTAACAGCTGATGTTAATTCTTCAAAGTCAGTTGGCAGTGATGCACCTTATGTTGCAAAAGTGGTAAGAGAGCATTTGAATCTTTACTTCACAACTTGAAAATGTTTGTTCTAGAATAGCATGTGTAATTTAAAACATCTGGCTGAAAATAATACAATTGCATAGTGCTGTTTAAAATAAAAGTGTGGTGATATAGAGGAACGCAGCTGAGAATTGGGACTTCTATGTATGAGGGTGGATAATGGAACATCAGCGGAGTTGAAAAACGTTCATGAAATGGATCAGATTCTGTTTCATTTGCTGCTTTCTGTAAACAGCCCAAATATCACAAAATGAATGAAATCTGGCTAGCTTTTGGAGAATTTCTGTGATTCAACAGTGAGTCTGTGTGAACTGTTGCTCACCACTGGATGTTGGTAAGCTGACAGATGGCTTGGGAGTAGAAACAGCAAAACTTTGATTCCTGAGGTCCCCACAGATATGAAGTCCTTTAAATGTTTTATCATAAAACACATATGTATTCTAATTTCTATTGAATTAAAATGGCATTGACACATAATTTTTTTTAACCTAATGATTAGAGAGAAGAAAAAGCATTGTTGATAGCTCATTTTTAGCCCATTGTAGCAAATTCTTTTTATTAGTTGAAATTTTCTTATGTTTTTAATCTTAAAATAAAAAAAGAGTTATTTAACTTGACTTGGCTATAATGTTCTCTTTCTAAGGAATAAAGTATTTTTTCTTAAATTTTGCTAGATTGTTTTGTATAGATCCTACTATTATATATGATTCCCTGGTAAAGTCTTAGTAAAAAACCTGGGAATATGGGAATGGCCACAGTAGATCCAGACCATTCATTATCTTGGTAGTACTTCTGGTCCTGTGACAAAAGCAAACAGCAGAAAACTGTACAAGAACTTCACAATGTAAAAAATAAGTTCTTCAGCACAGTTCAGAACTGCAATGTTTTAATCTTTTATTAAACTATATGGCGATACTGAAATGCTTTACCGCAATAGTTGTCCACTGATGTAAATATGTTAATATTTTTATCATTTGTTCCTGAAACTAAAAGATCAGGTTAATTTAGAAAATAAAATACATTTTAGTTAGTATTTGCCTTTAATCTTGATATTTATATCTGCTGACTACAGGGAAATTCCAGAGTACTGGTTTTGATACTGTTCAGACACCCCAAGATACTGTTGGTGATGACCCTTTTTCCGAAATGTTGTCACTTACTGAAAAAAGCACTGCTTACGATGCAAATGGCAAACTACCACACGTTCAACATCAGCGTACTGCTGCTGCCTTAGGTGTTTGTGGGCAGGAATTCCACAGAGACCAGGAGCCCCAGCCTGCAGCTGTTGCATGGTGGCAACCTGCTTTTGCATGCCCAACCTGTGCCATCGAGGGCAGGGGGTGTCCATTACGCAGGAGCTGTGGCCTCTTTTAGAGGCAGATAACAGACATTCAAGTTATCAGCAGTGGCTTGCCTATGAGAGGCATTGGCTCTTAATTACTGGCTCCTGCTGAGTTTGGACTGATCAGGAAGCAGGGCGCCATTTAACTCTCATGGGAGAATCCAGTTTGACTTGCTTGGAAAATCATCAGATATGCATTATTTTATGCTGTGTGTAATTGCTATCCTCCTCTTTCCCGTTGAACCCTGCCCTCCGGCTTCTCTCTTCCACTTGGGCTCTCAATATAAGAAGAGTTGTCGTAACTTTTGGGTTGCTTTTATGCTAGGTTCACTTTGTTGCAGCAATTTGTAAATACCCCCACTGCTAATCTCCCAGATGACTACTCATTTTAATTTGTCTTTTATAATTTTGTCTTTATGGCAATAAAGAGTAGCCCCAGTCTTTGTGCTGCCCTCACAAATGACCCATAACATATTATGCCTCTACAGTCTAGCATAACACAACTACGGATAAGGGCCTATTTTCTGATGCCTCGGTGATTCCTAGTTGATCCATCAGCTGAAGCAAAGTGGTTAACAGCTTTGAACAATTATTAGTGTTTAACAAAATATGTGCTTCTATAGTAGTGTTCTTCAAATTAAGCTATTAAAGCGGGATGGAAATTGGCTTAGTCTTTGACATATCCTCATAGTATTGATGTCTGAGCAGTACGAAATGAATCACAGTTTTTATTAAAAAAAAAATGCTTTTTAACATGTGGACCTTTCAGATGCCATTGTTCAAGAGTGGATGCAGAGTTTAATAACACTTCATTAAATTGCTGACTGAAAAAGATCAGAATTCTTAAAATACTACTTGAAGAAATTCGTTGGGTTTCAACACGTACTCCATAATCTCTTTCGTTATGATATCTTTTCTAATTAGACTTTAATTTCAGTTTTGCAAATCATGCGTTTAGAATGACCCTGGGCATAAAGTTGTAGAAATTTGTGTTTGAAGTCTTTCTGGTTTTAGTGTATGATGTCTAGTATGGCAAATATTGGACCTCATTACATGAGCCTTTTTAACATAGCGTATGCATTTATTTATCTGTATGTAGAATTAATGATATTGGGGGGGAACAGCTTCATAGTCAACATGAAGATCTGTTTTATGGTTAAATCATTTATCCATCCCCTCAAGTACGAAAAGATACCAGATTTTCAGCATTTGCTCGGACTAGAGAAAGATATACCTTTTCTTCAGCTCTGAGACATCATTTTTTTGTGGAATAATTTACTTAAAGATAAATATTATAAGAATTTTTAACACCTACAGTTTTTCGCTGTGTTTTAGTAAGAAAATAACATTCTTCAAACCTATGTAAATGGAATCAAAATAATATGTATAATTTATATTCTAATTAAGTTAGAGTGTTAATGGATTATGCTACACAGAAACAAGTGAATAGGTCAAATAACGTTTGTTCGAGATAACTGCAGTATAAGAATTCAGCTATTTAACCCTTCTCCGTTGTATATATAAACTCTGTATCACTAATTAGTTGTCCATAGTGGATAAATAAACTTTGGTACATGCATATTTATATACATGTAAACTTACCAGTAAGTTTATGTGCATTGATCCAGTTGCTCTAGTTTTTTTTTTTCTTTCTGGTTCATGGCTTAAGTCTGAGCGTTGGTCCCACAAGGAGGGGCCAGAAAACTGTTGTCTTGGCTCCATTGTTTATCAGGGCAATGCTACTGGAGAAAGTGAGGTGGAGATAGGCAGTAGCTTTGTAATCGAGTGTCCAGGCCTAGGAGCGGTGCCTAAGCTGGTATCTGCTCTCATTCTGACCAGTCTTCCTACTCCGAGCCAATACATCAGATGCACACTAAAGCCCGCGTTCATCAGCGTGTTGGATCTCTTTACATTGCTTCGTTACTGTCGGACAGCAGTAAACCTGTTAGCTGAGTGGTACAGTCTGGCCTTTAGCAATTTTCTGGATCACCACATCTGCGTTTAAAAGTTACAATTAAAACCATTTAAGATTGATGTTGTATATCTTGGAACTTTTGCTAATATCATGTGATTGTATTCTTTCTGGGCTTCTTTGCCAGTAACCACATACTTCTTTTTGGTTAAATTTTTTATTGGTTAGATTTTTTAAGTGTAGGATATTCCAAAACAGGTATTTTCACTGAGATAGAATGAATTTGGACATATATGAGGAACTAGACTAAAATAAATTGCTTAAGCTTATCTCAAAATCAATCACTTAAAAATTGCAAGAGTTGAAATAACTTTTTTTCTTTTCTGCGCTAAGTTCTGGAAATGTAGAGTCAAAGTACTTGCCCGTTTGCAATTCTTGCAGTATTTCAAAGCTTTGGTGTTTTCAAACCAATTTCTCTCTTGCACTTTACTTACAATAGGTGGTTACCATAGATTTGTCCCTAGAAAATGGAACTGAAATACCTTATGTTAGCTTAAATACAAGGTAGACTCTGAAGTCAAAATAGGCGTAGTTCTTTTAATTTAAGAGAAATTGTGAAATCCTCTGTAATTTTTACCTTGATCAACTAATGTATGAAGGGAGCAAAATACCTAATATTCAGCAAGAGTTTAACTTTTGTTAAGATTTTTCCATCAAATCATTTCAGGTGTTATTTTAGGCTCACTAATGGCTATTGCAACTGATGCAATCCAGCTTTAATCTGGAAAATCTGCGATAATGAATGTTGTTTAATGTTCTCTACTAAAATTTTGCTGCCAATTATTGGTGGTAATTCTATACTTTTCAGTTAATTTGTTATTCTTTAATATTTTGTTATGGGAAAGGATTCTTTGATATCTTTAACGTTAAGCAATTTATAATAACTTTTTAGAGCCAACCTTCTTTAATAAAAAGAACATATTCTATTGAATTTATCAGCACTGGGTAGAGCGTTTGAGGGAGAATATGCTTTTATAGGGTGAATGTTACATTTTGTGAGCTTTTAATAATTATTAGGCACTAACACAGCAGTTTTTAACTAATTTTAAATTGTCTTAAAGGAACCCAGCCAGAATGGACCTCTTTTTACTGAGTTAAAGTTCTACATGCGAGCTGCTAAGCCAGATGAAAGTAAGCAGTCTATTAAAATGTTTTCAATGAACTACAAGCATTTAGGAAAATAGAGCCTACAGGAGTAGGGTCGAACTTTAAGAGAATCTTTTTAGGTAATTTTCAAAATTATTTTTAAATGATTGAAATCTAATTCAGACATACAGTAAAATTAGGGGTTTTTGGTAAGATGTTCTTTATAGTTGTGTTGGTGGTATTGTCTAAATCAAAATTTTAGTTGCATCTCTGTCTCTGCAATGGATGCGTCATTAACTTTCCAGTATACTTGGCATCCAAATTTCCATGAAATAAGCAGCTCACATGTATGCAGAAACTGTAAATGATGCGAGTATTCCCTGTTTATGTAAGTCTCTACTGATGCGAATTCATGAACTTGTCTTTATTTGTATTTTCAGTTCAGAAGTGGACTAAGTCCCATAAACTGAAATATTTAGGTGTACCAAGATATTGGGGTTCTGGCTTGCATGAAAAAAATGGAAACAGGTGAATATATCTTTTGTTGGCATATACTGGGATTTATTTAATCCACAACCGCTATCCCTTTTAACCTAATTTACTTTATAAGATGTATTTTCCACCTACCTTCATGTTGTTAATTTCTGCTACAAAGTTTCACATTCATAAGAGGGTGTGCTTAAGGAAGAGTACATTACAAGAGTACTTACAAGAGTACATTTTATCTGTACTCGTTTGTTACTCGTATTTGTGTCTATTACATCCTTAGTGATTTAGTTTTCATTTGTCTAGAACATTGCTGTAATACAGTGATGATATATATATGTGGTTTAGAAGCTTTTCATATTTGAATTAAAATAAAGTCGACTTCTAATGTGTAAGTCCTTGAATAATATGACTATCTTTAAAGTTTTTCTTCTCGTGTGGTGTGCACTTAAAAAGTATTTTCACTCACACTTATAAAGGACTTAGCGCTCTCTCTAAATGTATTTTATTTTCCCTAGGGACAGGGTTTTTTTTGACTTAATTTGTGAGCTAGAATAATTGCTAGTCTCATGTTAAATTTGTCTTAAGTCTAGGGATAGTTTTTAGTATCGTTCCATGTCACGAAGGGTTTTTGTTACTTGGTCTTGAATGGTATGCCTGTTTATGTAGCAGTCCTTGTTTCCTAGTGGGCTTTCTCTATACAGCTATGCTGCAAGAAGTTTTAGTAGTTCTCTGGCAGCTTATAGTAGGTCAGGCTTCTTTGTGTGGACCACTACACAGGGCAGTTGGTATGTATGCCCTAGTGTGTTAGAAATATCATTGTTTCAGCAGGTCCTCAACTTTAAAACTAATCTAATGTAAAAGCAACATTATTTTGAGAGGCAAAAGTAAATACAACACAATTTTTTTTTTTTTTTTGCCCAGATAAACTTTTCTTTGCGTTTGGTGTTTCATGCATGAGAGTCTTTAATATAGCAACTATGAGCTCTTACAGTAATAGAACCAGTTTGGCTATAGCAATGAATATCAGAACACCTTTGGCAAGTGAGCGATTTTTGTTTTTAATAAGAGGTTAAAAAAAAGGTTGTAATAGATTTCAAGAAACTAACTTTTTAAAGTAACCAGGTTAAGTCACTTAGTCATTTATAAAGTAAAAAATGTATTTCTGTAAGTAATTGATGGTTGGGTTTACCTATAGTGAATTACAATACAGATATTTTCCTCTGTGGGTACTTGTTATTGTATTGCATAACTAGTCAGGAATAAAGAACAGTTCTTTTGATGGACGAACTTTTGACTAGCTGATGTAAAAAAGTTAAGAATTGGTGTACAACATTAAAAGTCAAGTATTTCCCATATATTTGTTTTCTGTACCTGCAGTTTATCTTTTGAGAGAGATGTTTTCAATCAGTAATTTGTGCAATTATAACACATAGATAAAATACTTTGCTAAGTACAATTCAGTAACTTTGCCGTTGTTTTTTTTTTTCCTTTAATTTAGTTATCGATTTATGATAATGGACCGATTTGGCAGAGATCTTCAGAAGATGTATGAAGAGAATGCAAAGCGATTTTCCCATAAAACCGTACTACAATTAGGCCTGAGAATAGTAAGTTTAAAAATTATATTATATTTTTACAATCTGGCTTCCCAGTGTAAGTCTTTCAGTTAAATCACACTTTTGTGCTGAGTACAGGTCCTCTGCTGGGTGGAGCTGGGTACTGCATTTATATGATTGTATTTTGTTTTGTTAGCTTGATATTCTGGAATACATCCATGAGCATGAATATGTGCATGGAGACATCAAGGCCTCAAACCTTCTTGTGAGTTACAAGAACCCTAATCAGGTATTTCTGATGCATTTTATTCCTCATGTTTTAAACCTTCTATTTGACAACACATGGAAGTGCTTTGAACCTGTGAAATCTAGCAGAAGCTCATTTTTAAGAATGTATATGGTTACATTATTTCTGCTTGACATTTATATCTAGTTAATATTCTACGATTTTTTTAATGCATTTTGCTGGACAGTTATCAAATTGACTATTTGCCCTAAAATAATATTCTAGAGAAATTCTCAAGATTAAAAAAAAATTGACTCACAGATAGGTATTTGCAGGTGGAAGCTTAAAATTACATAGTACGCTGGTAAATTATGTTTGCCTGTCTGCATCGTTACCTCATTCCTTTGTTCGAGAAATCCATCAGATAAGTGTTCTGTTACTTGTAAAAATTGGTCTTTAAAGTGTTGATTGTTCCACTTGATTTACCGATGTCTTTCATTTTTCTGTATTTTTAACTGTCTTTACTATTCAAACAATGCATATTTTCAGAATTACATAAGTCTTATTGCCCAAATGTGTTAGCTCATGAAATAAGTAAAATGATCTCCATTCTCTTAAAGTAACTGTGGTGTTAGTGAGAAGTAATAGTATGTAGTAGTGTTCAAATGGGACAGCTGACTTTAAAGAGGGTAGGACAGTAAGTGTGTTTATAATTCTATGAATGTTATGTCTTTTTTTTTTTTCTTATGGTTAATAACAGACTATTTTACTGTACTTGTCCTCTGCATCAGCAAGAAAGGGCTTTCAGATCAGGCTTCTATATGGAAAATAACAAAACCTGTCAGACATGTTGTTTTTCAAATCATATGTAGTAATCTCAATAAAGCACTGAGAAAGGATCATTTAAAATAAAAAAACCTCACCGTTTTTAATACTTTTTAAGTTCTAAGAATGGTTGGGAGTTACATTTACTATTTGCGTATTTTTTGTATTTATAGTTCTTAAATCTTAAGAATTCTTTGTGGAAATTACTAGGTGTACTTGGTGGATTATGGACTTGCCTACCGATACTGTCCTGAAGGAGTTCACAAAGTATATAAAGAAGATCCTAAAAGGTGTCATGATGGAACTATTGAATATACCAGTATTGATGCACACAAGGGTGTGGGTAAGGGTGTAAAACTTCGTTCTCGGCAGTAGGCATTTGTGCATCCTTTTTATTAACACAAAAGACTTTATTTGCTGCATTGAGTTTTGTAAACAACTGGGTTTCTGAATCTATAAAAATATTTTTTTCTTCTCTGTGGACTATGCTGGCATTTTTCTTTTTTTCCATTTACTAACTTTTACTTTGATATTAATTTACTGTATTTTAATGCAACCTTCTTAAATAGATTTCCTTAATTTATAAAGACCATTAAGAATTTTAGTGTATTGCTTTTTATTAATTAAATAGAAATGGAATAGTGCTTATGAGTTCTTGATAGAAAAACAGGCGCTGTTTTCAGGAGATAAATAGTTTCTGTTTTCAGTGTGAACGTAGTTCCTTCATGTTTGGCAATATTCTTTATCTTGTTTACGGCTTCATATTTAGAAGATTTTTTAACAAAACTTCATTTAACTGTGAAATATTATTTCATAATTATTACAATTATGCCTATAGTCACTGAATATCAAAAGGCAAGAAGTGAGAAAAGGTTGAACATGAAAAGGACAGGTCTATGTCTGATTAAACATTGAGGATTTATAGTGAGCACCAATTTTATTTTCTTCATTCTTAAATTTTGTTTTATTAGCATAAAAATGTGTCCTGCAAAAATGTCAGTTGTTGAAAATTATTGTTTACTTCAGGACGAACTGTTGCACCTGTGCTTAAAACTGAACATGAACAAAGATGACTTGATTTGCCCATTTATACTTCTAGGGTGTTTCTTGGGGTTTTTTTGGCAAGGCTTAGGGATCTGATCTATGATTGTCCTCTGTTCAGTTTTCCGGCCACATAAAATATTTCAGTATCGTGGAAGATTTTTTCAGGAGCTGCAGTTTTAGCACTATTACCTTTTTGTAGAAGAAGGGAAGTAAAAACTGTTTTGAACAGAAAGTCAATCACTTCACTAATTTGCTCTATTTTTTCCACAATCAGAGTACTTAAAAAGCTCCCCAAATTGGGATAACTGCAGCATGTCATATCCTTGAGTAGAAGAAAGAGATTAACAAAGGACTTGAAAATGAAGTTACCCTTCCAGATGTAGAAACAATATTTTTTCGTTCCTTGCTTTCACTCTGAAAGAAAGAAATAAGTAACAGATAGAGTAGTGTTACATTGTTAGCATTGGCTTCCTATTGTCTCAACATATTTACAAATTTTAACTGTTGTTAAACTATATGTGCCTTATTAGCTGCTCTTACTGTTCTTTTTTAATGTGTGTATATGTATTTAGCGCCATCGAGACGTGGTGATCTGGAGATCTTGGGTTACTGTATGATTCATTGGCTTAGTGGCCATCTACCCTGGGAGGATAATTTGAAAGATCCAAATTTTGTCAGAGACTCAAAAATCAGGTGAGAAACTACTTGTTTTCTTTCTCTTTTGAAATAAAAAATAGGAATGAAAATGTCTTAATGTCGAAATGCTTTGTACTTTCAGTATGTTCCCTTTTGGTGAGTAGGCTATTGTTTTGTATACCCCACAGTTTCCCTTCATTGTTTCTCATGTATCCTTGGCTTGTAATTAAACTTTGCTTGTACTGTTCTACTCTCTCTTCTTTTGCATATGTGAGATGCTTGTTTATCCACCACAGTATTGTCGCTTTAGAATACTGCCGTGGTTAAGCCAAAAAGTACTCTTTATCAGTATACAGGTAACCATTAGTCCTGCTTTACAGAAAGAGAACAGAAGCATGGAGTATGAGTAGCCTTTATAACACCATGCTCTGAAGTCAGTGGCAGGGATGAGAGCTAGAAGTGGATCTTGCATGTCTTGGAGCATCATTCCAGCTAGAGGGCCACTAATGTGGGAATTAAAAAAAAAAAAAATTTTTTTTTGGTCTCTCTCCCTCACTGACACATTCCTTTGTCTTCTCCCCACCCCCACTCAACCCTCTCTTGTCAGATATTTAATATGAAAAAAGCTGTCCTGGCGCAGCAGTTTCTGTCTCATTAACAAGTATTTGTTATCTGGCTTCCTTATCTCTATTTTTAAGACTTCGGCCTCCATCAATGTTAGCGAAGGTTCCCCCACTTCACCTCCTTTATTATTTTGGCATGGGATCTGCTCTGAATCATATCAGCTAGAGAAAGAGTCCTCTAGCAGGGAGAGGTGAGAGCACTGGTATGTGAGGGTTTAAAATGGACCAGTTCTTTTCCTTCAGTCTTCTACTTGCTTGCTTTTATAGGAATCAAAAACTGTTGAACAAAAACTTACTGTATTTCAGACAGCCTGTCTGGCATTTGTCAGGTTCTCAAATGTACTGCACTCTTAAAAATGGCTGTACTAAGTCATACCAAAGGTTTATCTAGTAGCGTTTCCTTCTCTGACAGTGGCCCAAGCTAGGTACTTAGGAAGTCTGTCAGAACAGGGCAAGATTCAAACTTTGAAAGAAACAATAGTTTTGAATAATTTTGTTTTTCAGATGTAGAGATAATATTTCAGTTTTTATGGACAAATGCTTTCCTGGGAAAAATAAACCAGGTAAGAGAAGCTATTTTAAATTAAAATACTTTGGTTTGTACCATGTGGTAAGCATTCTCTAATAATTTGTTTTAATGTCCTTTTTCTTTAAAAAAAAAATAAATAAATAAATCCATCAATCTGTTTGGGTGCCCTCACCAAATTGTAGACAACTTTAGACAGTGGGTAGAAGCTCTGAAATTCGTATTTACGTGGTGTACGTTGAGTGCATACAAGGGAAGGCTGTGCTACTCTGTATTCAAATAAAACCAGATCAGTTCAATTGCTGCAAAAGGTGAGGAGTTGTCAGACTGTCAGCAGCTTTTTTCCCTGAGAGGTGTGTCTCAGGCATTGTGCTCTAATCTGTTGCTTCTTTAAGTCCTCTTTGTTTACTTAAGTTTGTACCTATTTTTCTTCTTACTTTTATCAGCAACAAAGTGGCATGAATTAGATTGTTGATTAGGAGAAGTTTAGAATCTTCCTTTTGGCTGTGGTTAGATGAACTGCAGACGCTCTGCTTCTGACTAAAGGCAGTATTAAGTATTTGCAAACATGAAATGTGTAAGTTGATTTTTCACAACTGAATTTTAGAGATTCAAAATATAAAGTAATGAGAACTTGAAGTCTAGATTTTTTTCTATTTGGCATTGGTGATTTGCTGAGTAGATTATTTTTTTAAACCTGACTCTATTAGAAATACACTTTCATGGGATCTTAAACTTAGATAGTTATTTCCAGCTACTCCTGGTGATCAGAAGAGAGTTTTCTCTGTCAAGTGTGACTTGTCTGGTTTTTCAGTGGTCAAATGTTTCATGTATTTTTTAATTGATGTTTCAGTCTTTAAACTGATGAAGTTCTGAGATAACATTGAGTTTCCTTTTCAACATTTTTAAATATAGACATAAGAAATATCATGTAAACAAGCATTCATTGGTGAAGATCAGCCTATTACATTTTTTACGACTGACTGTTTTCTTCATTGCAATGAACATGTAAAAAACAGTGATGGTTGTCATCACTGGGTAATGAACCTTGGTATAATTTTTTTCTGAAATGTGTTGTAGTAAAGTTATAATTACGAGTTTATAAATAACCATTTCAAAAAATAGCATAAGTAGTGCATGTATAATTTCTGACTTTTGTGATAAAAGTGAATGATTAAAATGTTTTCAAATAGAAATTAATTGGAGGTACTATTTCTTTAGATGAAATAGCCAAATATATGGAAAAGGTGAAGCTACTGAACTACGAAGAGAAACCTGTTTATCAGCATTTCCGAGAAATACTTCTGCAAGGTCTTAAGGCCATTGGGCAAAAAGATGATGGAGTACTTGACTTTGGCTTGTCAGAGAATGGAGACTTGCAAACAAATCCCATACAAAAGGTTTTTACTCTAAAAATTTATGTCAGCTTTTAATACTTCTTTTCGAGCTAAATAAGAGTTAAAGTGGTATTGGAAGTAGGTGTCATAACTGCGTCCAGTAAGAAATAAGCAAGTAGTCAAACATTTGTTTAAGTCCTACTCTTAAGCATTATTTCTCTAATTTAACTTCACTAATTGTTATTAAAGCTTAATACAAAATGATGTTTATAGGTGTTCATAACAGATAATATCTTGGATAACAGAATGTGTATATATAGTTGCAATGACATTTGAACAGATGAACGTTCAGTTAATTTCCGTATTTTCCTTAAATGGGTAAAACTCCAGATGGGTCAAAATACATGTAAGGTAAAATAAGTCTAGTTTTTGTTTCATATTAGTTTCCTTTCTGTGACCAGTTCAAAGCTTAGTTTTAAGTATACATCTTTATGTCAAGTATTTGATTCTGGAATTCACATATTGAATTCACTGTGATCTAATATGTTATTTATGAGTCTTGACTATAGTGGTAGGCTGGGGTATTTTTATTCCTTGTATTTAAGAAGCCTTAAACTCTAGATTTGGACTCCCATTTGAATACAGCGTAGCAACTTTTTAAGCCTTAGGGAAATTGTATATTAAAATGGTTTATAATAACAATTAAAAATGGTCAAATAATGGAACAATAAATCATAGAATAGTTTGGGTTGGAAGGGACAGCTAAAGGTCATCTAGTCCAACCCCCCTGCCGTGGGCAGGGACAGCTTCAACTCGATCAGGTTGCTCAGAGCCCCATCCAACCTGACATGAATGTTTCCAGGGATGAGGCATCCACCACCTCTCTGGGCAACCTGGGCCAGTGTTTCACCACCCTCAGTGTAAAAAATTTCTTCCCTATATCTAGTCTAAATCTACTCTTTTTTAGTTTAAAACCATTACCCCTTGTCCTATCACAGCAGGCCCATTATTATTATTATTTTCCCGTATTTCAAACTGCATTTATTACTTGTTTATCTGTATTTGTTAATAACAGGTGGGCAGTTTATTGGTTCCTTTAGCATCAACCAGGGAACTGAGAATTATAATACAGGATAATAGTACAAGAATGCTGCCTGCTTACTGACATGATCAGTAGTGTGTTAAAAATGGGCAAAAAGCACAAAAGAAAAAAAGCTGTAGGATTTCAAAGTCTTCTGGGGATGTATGTCCAGCTTTTCTTTCTTTTTTTTTCCCAGTAAATAGTACTTTGGCTAAAGTCGTACAGCCATGGTCTTCATACTAATATTTTCTGCTGAACTGAGTGTAAAGATCTGTCCAAAAGGAGAGTTCATTAGCATAAATTCTTCTGTTCCCTGTGGATCGACATGGCTTGAGACCTGTGGGTTTTTTTGGGGAAAAAAATCGTTTTTAATGGTTGGCTGGTTTCTTTGCTGAATAAGTTGGCCTGCTGCAGAGCCAACATCTGTGACCTTTAATGTCCTTGTCCGGCAGAGATGGCTGGTGCACATTTCCAATGCAATAAAACTTCAAAAATCTTATTTCTTTAGCCAATATCAGTCAAGACCATCCCAAAGGGTGGGATAATACTTTTCCATAGGTTCTTACCTACTAGCATTAATTAGGAGTTAGCTTTTACACTGGGTTTTGGTGTTTGGGTGGGGGTTTTTGGGGGGTGGGGGGGAGAGGGGGATTTTTTTACTTTGAGGAATTTTATGCATGGTCAGCTTGCTCAGTTGTCACAGATATTGTTTTATATAAGTGCTTGAACATAAGTGTTACTGTCCTATTTGAATAAGAGTTTTCAGCTGTCCACTTCATACCGCAGTGGACTTCATGCTAGCTACTTCATGCCAGCTACTGCTAGTGTGTCCAGACAGAATAAGATTGTTTGCTTGAAATCAGGTTGACATAGCCTGGTTACTTTTGACCAAATACCAGGACCCATGACTCTTCCTTCTATGTTGCATTTTCTAGGCCTTGTAACAGCTGTGGTGTAGGCTAGGGTAGAAGAATAGATTGTGTCAGTCCTCCTTCTAAGGGTGTATTTTGCACTTTTCTTCAAGAATGAATGAAATGAAAAAAAAAGCAGGATGTCTCCTTCTCAGAATATATGTTTGGCAATTTATGCTACTAGGTTTTTCTTCCAGGGGATATCAGACATTAATGAGAGGCTAGGAGAACAGGAAGATGATTTGTGCTAGTTGAGAATAGCTGGACACTTAGATACACAGAGGAAGAAAGGAAGAACACAGAATGCTAATTAAAATTATATGTATTTTCAGCTGTGACAGGAAGCTCAACTTGATGACTGAGTGTTTTAAAGATAAGCTCCAAATTCCAAACGCTGTTAGAAACTGCTTTCCGTAAAGATAACTTACCATTGATCAGTCGCATCTTGCCTCTGAAAGCCAGTATCTTCTAGCACATGCTGAATTTTTGGCATGCTTAATGTCTAATTTGGAAAAGAAAAATGCAATCTGGCATACACCCTTGAGAACATGGTGACCTCTAATACAGAGTATTTATGGCATTTTGGCTGTACTGGTCCGTTAATCACAACAGGTCTTAAGACACCTACTTTTCAACTCCTTTGGGGCAATCTACCATAATACTTTCTTAAAACAGTGTTATTTGGTGTTCTGAAGTTGTGCTATTTCATAGCTAGGAGATAATATTTCTAGCTTCTGTGTAAATAAATTCTTAGAATGTAGGATTCTCCTGTGCTTTCAGCTCTTACAGCTAATTGAGCCATGATGTGCATTGTATGTTGCATATAAGCATGGTTGTTCTGGAATCTTAGTCATTCTCCAGTATTGGTATCTGGCTAAAACTCACAGATGTCTGCTATATTAAAAGTTAACATTTTATTTTCTATACCATGACTCAAGTTTCCCTAGATGTATAAGTAAATGAAACACAGTCCACAGTTCTGCTGGAGGTTGTTTTTTGTTTGTTGTTGGTTTTTTTTCTGTATAGTAAATGCATGTTGGTTTGTGTGTGTGATACTTTATAACAGTTCTAGCAAAACAAGAAGCTAACGGTACCATGTGTTGAAGGAATTATTTGGAGCTCTTGACTAAATTATTTAGGGCAAGGACTACATCTTCCTTTTGTTTAGTGCTGAAGAGTTGCTGGGAAATATTGGGAGTAAACTAAACTGGAAAAACGTGGATCTTTGTGATTTGTGGTTCCTTCTAATGTTCAGCTTCAGATGCGCAGGTGTTGCTTTTGTCAGATGAATGCTGCCTGATTTCTACTGCTATGTAATTCACCTGCATCAAGATTAAGAAACCACTTTTTATTACATAAGCTTGGAAACAAGACAAATGTATTTTGCTTTTGTGTAGCATGTATTGGATATCTGTTTTTCTGATGAGCGTTTAAAATGTTTTCTAGTACAATTGGGAGGAATGCATTATCTCTCATATAAACGCAGTACAGAGCTGAAATAGTCCTCCTTAATTTTGGTCAGAATGAACAAAAGTGTCTGTGTTTATTCCTGCCTAATGCATCACAAATCTGCTGACATGCTAACCTTGGAGTCTTGGCTGGCGGTAATCAGGCCTGTGCACCGGCAGGAAAGATGTACCTAATGCACTCCATCAGTGCAGTTTGCATATGGAAGTTCTCACAGGGGAGCTGCCCTGTGCCAGCTGAGGGTTACCTGCCCACTGCAGTTATTGTATGTAATTATCGAACCAATCTGTTCAGCCCAGCAGGGTTTAGATGGTAATCATGAAGCAACACTTTGGAAAGGAAAGATGTAATGCACTCTCCCCTTCTCTCATGAGCTATGTGAAGTTGGAGCCACTTTTAAAGCTGTATTAGTAAAACTCTAGTCTCACACAATTAAACAAAAAAATTAAAAAAAGGAAAAGATAAACTCTTCCAGTGTTCATCAAAGTTATCATCTATGTCTGATACAGATACAGGTCAGCTCATCCTTTGCAAAAATCACGTGGCTTTAAAAAAAAAATCTTTCCATAATCACCTTAAGAATACTTTGCAATAGCAAGATTAATTGTAATACACAGATGATAATAACAGTTCTATCCATTTAGAGGTTTTAAGATAATGTACCTTGAATAGAGTTCAGATTTTCCAAGTATGTCTCTTTGGAACAGAACCCATAGTTGCTATTAGAAAAAAATAATAATGTACTGTCAGTGGGTGTTAGCTACTTTTAAGCTGTGCAAAGAAAGCCTTAAGAAGCAAGGATCCAGATAAACTTGAATTTAATGAGGTGTAATTGCTTTTTTAAAAGCATCAACTTTGGGTAAAATGTTTTTCTATGTTTTTTAAGATTTTTCAGATTGCTCCTTTTGTAACAGTTATTCAATGTAAATAAAAAAACAGGTTTTGATCATAAAAACTTGTGTTTTCATACATAAAAATTTCAACTCCTAATGTGATCTGCAGATAGGAGAACTGAACTTTTAAATTGTCTATTGCCTATTACTAGTATTCCTGCATTAATATATGAACAAACTTTCTCTACAACTGGAGATGTTTTATAATATATGAAGAAATAATGCTTAAAATTGGGGAATGCCTTGTGAGGATAAGATATTTTCTACTTTGTATGGTCTTTTCTGCTCTTGAGTTCAGTTGCCCCCTCCCCTTTCTTTTTCCCCCCTCAGAAAAAAAGAAAGGCAGCAGCTGCAACCAATGAGAGCACTGAAGCAGAAATGGAAGATACAGGAAGTCCAGAAAAAAAGAAACCTACTCCTTCTAGTAAGTCAAAAGATCGTTCTCTCTGTCACATGTACTGGTGTGGTAGGTTAACGCTGGCTAAGGGCCAAACTCCCACCCAGCCACTCACTCCCCTCCTCAATGGGACAGAAGGAGAAAATAGGATGAGAAAACTCATGGGTCGATACAAAGATGGGGAGATTGCTTACCACTTACTGTTGCGGGTAAAACAGACTCAACTTGGGGAAAATTAATTTAATTTATTGCCAATTAAAATAAATTTGGGTAGTGACAAAGACAAATGTTGAAACAACATCTTTCCTTCCCCTTCTCCCAAGCTCAACTTAAATTCCGTACTTTAGACTCCTCTGTCCCACTCCCTGAGTGGTGCAGGGGGCATGGAGTGGAAGTGTGTTATGATCAGTACATAGCATTTTCTCTCTGCTGCTCCTTCCTCCTCACACTTTGCCCCTGCTCCAGTGTGGGCTCTCTCTCTTGGGCTGCAGTCCTTCAGGGAAAAAAATGTGCTCCGGTTCCTTCAGGAAGTATCCATCTGGTCCGGTGTGGGCTCTCCCACGAGTTGTAGGGAATATCTGCTCCATCCTGGGTCCTCCATGAGCTACAGGGAGTATCTGCTCCAGTGCTGTGGAGTACCACCTCCTCCTCTGACTTTGGTGTTCTTTCTGCCGTTTTTTCACTCTCCTCCCCGCACCACCCCCCCGAGCCTGTCCAGTGTTTTTCACCCTCTCTTAAATGTTTTCACAGAGGTGCCACAAATAAGTTGGGCTCAACTTTGGCCTAAAGTGGATTTGTTTTGGAGCCAGCTGGAATGGGCTGTGTCAGGCACAGGACAGCACCTGCCCTCTTCCCACAGAGGCCACCACTGTAGCCCACCCCATCTTACCAAAACTCCGCCACATGGCCACATATACCCCATACAACTGTTTACCTTTTAGCAGTTCGAGTGCTTTTTATCTTTCGTAATTTCTTTTTAGATTAACTCTAAAATAGAAATATTTAAACTTTCTGCGTAAGAAAGGTATACTCTCCAATTATGTGCTGCCTAAATCTGGTAGAAATGCTAGGTGATAATTGGTGGTTGCACCCTGTTCTTTTGCCGTCATTCATTCTCTCCTCCATTCTCATTTCTGTCCTTCCGTCTTGTCCACTTCGCTGTCAGAATATGCTGACTCCTCAGGACTTTAACACACTGTGATGAAGAAGCCAGGGTCTAGGAGCAGCAGCTCCCAAAAGCAAGCGTATTTAAAGTCGAGGAAAGGATCAGCTATCAGGATAGAAAATGCCGAAGCTACATTTCAGATAATTTGGCATAATTTTGGTGTTGTCTGGAAAAAGTCATGGACAGATAAAGTAGGATTATTGTTAAGTCCAAGATCAGAAATCTTAAGTAGATCTGTATAGGGTAAGCTTATGGTGAGTGTCCAGTGAAACTGTTTTCTTGATCTACCCTTCTAACTCTTTCATGTAGATGTGAACTGAATTCAAGTAATTACAAAGATATTTTTCCTAAAGAATTTTTGATTCAAACTTTTAAGTAGAAGACCAGATGTTGCCAATGGTCAAGTAGTCTAAAAATAATAAAGCAGTAGTACTGGAGTCTACCCCAAAATAAATCCGCTTGTTTAAAAAAGTTTTGATGAAGGAGTATGGCAGGATGGGAAAATGTAACATTTCAAGGACAGCAATATTATTGGTAAGTTATGGATTTACCCTAGTATATTTACTGAAACAGTATGGTACAAAGTACAAGTAATTAAACTAATGTTATTCCAGAAGGTGACACTCCTTTGTTCATTTTCAGCTGTCACATTATAGAATTCTGATCATTAAAATCAGTGATTATTTCTCATGCTTGAATGCCTTTTGAATTGTTGACTTCACTTTATTATGAATTTTCTGGTCTGTCAGTGGCTGAAAAAGTGTTAATTATATTATACTTTCTTTCAAGGAAATACAATTATTTGATGTGACGCTGATGTTTATTCATAGTTTCAGCATTTTAGATTTTATTTAAGACCTTATAACAAAATACTTAATACAGCTGACTGTCTTCTGGTTGTGATATGATATGCGTGAGCAGAATATACTTTCATTTTGTCTTATGTATTATGCTTCTTTTTTCCTGGGATTGTAGATTGAAATTCTCATAGATAGAGATGAAAAAGAACTTGAGGAATTGCAGTCCAAGTGGTAGCATCAGCTTTTTGTAAATGTTAAGGTTTTTTTTCAGACTAAGTAAAGGTATTTGGGAGGCTATATATATTTTCAGCATCCAGTGGTTAAAGTGAGTGATGGACATAAGCTTAAATTTAAACCTCCTTTTGCCAATTCAATAGAGTTACAGGTGAAATGGTTCTAATTTCACCTTTTTATACTACCCAATTTAATGAATACCAAGTGGGGGGAGTATATCAAATGATTTCGGGTGAAAAGTGATACAGGTACTTACTCATTTTGTTCTCTCCAAATTTGGAATTAAAAACTTTTCCACTTATTACATGATGCGTAAATCTGTGTTGAAGGAAAGGGCAACTGTTTCATAATCTTGTGATTTTCATGCTTTTGATAAACTGAAAATAGCTGTTTATTATAGAAATACTTAAAACTGTGTTTCCAAATCTGACTAGTTTTATGTTACCATGGACTTGTTTCTCCGTTATGTGACTAGTCCTGTGACTAAAAAAATATCCTAAAGTTTACTGTCCAGATAATTTCTTGATACCTCTTAATTGTAGAAATTGAAGTTTAGTCATACAGGAACATTTTAAAAGTTCTTGACGTGCTATTTTGTTGGTTTCTAAAAGGGGATAAATGCGACTGAACAGAGGTTACTCTTCAGGTGTTCAAACAACATCTCATTAGTATTTGGACTTAAAACAGTGGCAAGAAGAGCCACGCAGCCTCTCGCTGTTCGGCTAATCGGCATTAACCACATCTGACTATGCAGTTTATCTAATCCAGTCCAAAAGATTAGTCGGCCCAAAAAGATTGTGATCAACTGTGCAGCAGTTTGAGTACACCAGGGTGCTCAGTGGCTACAGGGACTCTGCCAGTAATGAAATCTGCTACTGCTGAGGCTGGGGAGCCCCCAGGCTTGGCGGAGGAGGAAGAAAGAATGGCACTGAGAAAGGACGGGCATCTTGAAATTCTTGCTAGTCTGCTGCCCCTGGTTGTTCTCAGCGTAAGAGTGGCCACTTCAGATGAGTTCAGTAAAGGCCATCTCTTTCAATCATGTCAGCCATCAGTATTTCTGGAGCTGTCAGGCAAGAGTGTTAGACTCCTCTTTTTAGAAACAGAATTTCAGAAAGCCCTCGAGAAACAAGCTGTGTTGTACTTCCAAACTAAGATGCACAAAATTTTGTGGAATTCTTAAACTGCTTTTTATTTAAATTAGCATGTTATCAGTTTCCTCTTCCTTTCCTGTGATAACTGGAACCCATATGCTTTCCTGAAAGCTGGCATTTTAAGAGGTATCCTTTTTAAGGTGATACGGATGATGTTGAAGTATTACATCAGTCAATGTCTCTCCACCAGGAAAAATCAGAAGAGATGATTTCTATATAAACGAAAAGTTCTTTTCACACTCTGTTACAGCTCCATTTTCATTATTGGCTGCCTTCATGTATGATAGTAAAATATACAGGCTTGTAAGTGATGATACTGTTAAAGCCGACTACCAAATTTTGGCATACACTGTATGTATCCACCAGTGCTTCTGCAGAGGTGTACTGCATAATGTTAATAGGACTGATATACTTATTTTTAATCAGTTTGTATGGAATAGGCAGCTAGTGTAGGAAACTTCAGTTAAAATGGCATAAATGCTGGAAAAATGAGTTTCATGAGAATTTGTAAATAATCCCAGGCTGAAAACTACCAATAGAGATAAAACCTTTACCACTGGCAGTTTTCTTTAATCTTGGGGTTGATGAAGATTGGGTCATAGAAAATAGAATATTTTTTTTAAGAATAGAATTTTTCATGATGATGGAAGTACTGTATTTTTTTTAATGTACTTTTTTAATAGTCAGTACTGCTAGGGGTAGGAATTGTGCATGTCTGTATTGCTGGATAGCATCTAGCATGGTAAGGCCTTAACAGGGGTCTTTGGTTACTCTTGCAGTATAAAGAAAGAACTATGTGAACAGCTCTGATATGAAAACAGTCATACTGATGGATTGGTTAGAAGGCATTCCAAAATGGAGGTTTAATAGTATTTCTCAATTAATTGGTACTTTAGCTTTATGTTTATTTACATTGCATGGCTTTGCATAAATCAGTATCTGGGATATTGTCTTAGAAATCTTTTTTTTCTTTATTCAAGCAAGATTTATTACTTAATGTTGGATTAAATCTACACTTAGGCTCATTTTTATATTTAGAGAATTATTGGCCTTGTCATCAAGCTTTAGCAGAAAGCAAATCATACGGTTTTTTTGAGCTTGTTTATGGCACCACTTGTTACTTGTCTTTCTAGTCCACACCAATGCCCACATTATAGGTAGATTTTTACCTCTTAATTTTGTACCCTAATGCAGTCATTTTCAGCAAAACCTGTACTGTACAATAGTTCTAATTGCCTGTTATTCATTTGTTCCTTCTTATGAAGGATTTGGTGTTGACTAGTATCTGTAACAGACTCCAGGAGTAAGTGGGTATTAGTCTTAAAACAGTGTGTCTGTCTCTGTGACTAGTCACCAAAAGATCTGTCCTTTTCTGCACCATTCTTAGCCTTACCTTACCTGTCTCGGGAATGTTGCAAGTTAAATGTTCTAGTACGAGAGTTATGTGATCTGGTTTTAGAAGTTAAAAGCATGTGCTGCTATGTTGTATCTAGAAATTAACAGGAAGATTCAGGTTTTAGAGCAGAGAAATACTGCTCTCGGTTGTCAGAAATACTGACAAACTGGCTTTGTATTTTGCATTAAATATATTCAAACACGATATGAAGTGATCTGTCTTTATGGCCTGCGCCAAAATTGTTTGAGGATCTTCAAAAGCTATTTAAACTAGGAGAGGTG